CGTTCTAGCTAGCTGTGTGTGATTCAGGTTCAAATAGGGTGTTACGCAACCTCTCAACCGCTTTCGACTCCCTATGGATCTTGGCCACTTTCTCTGAATCGTTTTACCGCACGATTCTAACTTGACTCGCGCCATTGTAAAGTTCCATTAGCTCTGTTCCGCTTGTTTTTTTTTAAAGTCTCATCAACTCTTTTGGCCTTCTATTGCATAACCGTACAAATTTATTCAGGGCTTTAATAACCCGCCAAGTAAGTCTGGCGTTGACTAAGTTGAGCCACCCATCATGTGATTGTGTCGGCAAGACGGGTTTGTTCGATGTCGTCATCCACGTTAAATTTCCCCTAAGAGGTCTCTTCACATGGCCACCATTTTGTCTCTAATCGTTTTTTTTGCCTGCTGCTGTCATGTTTCCACACTCCTGCAATGTCATTGCGTTTCTCAACACAGGTGTCACAATAATGCTGTCATTGTTAGTCGCGACACAGAGGATTATGAAATCTATTTTTTTTTTGCGTTTGATCGTTCTCAATTTGAGTGGTTGGTTGTACGCGTTGCAGATAGTGCTCAAACTAGCTCGTCCCTTCGAATAAGGTATCATATACGTTGACAACCAGCAGCCTTCAGAAGTCATCATTTTCCGCTTTTGAATAAAACAAACAATGTGGGTGATACAGTCATTCATCTGCTGCTGATAAAATCTACACTGAATAGCGTCTGATACCACTCGTGCGCATGTTTGTTGATACTGGTCTGTGTTCTGATTATGAGTTCCCGCTGAAGGCTGTACAAAACTCCCCAATCGATTTTTTAGATTGTACAAAAACTTCCTTGATAACTTTTCATATTGGTTCCCATTCCATTGATTTCAGTTTGCATGCAACAAAATTGCAAGCAGTTTTTGACGGCTTTAGGGCAAAATTTTCCAGTATCAGACTCTGCTCATCTTGATCGCCCTTTACTCCCAGTCGGTTGAATTTCTCGGGCAACATCCGTTGCCTGTTTCTTTTTAATAGCCTACCCATCATTTTTAGACTACTAAAAACATTAGTCCCCCCTAAATCCACCCCTGGTCGCATGAAATAGCTCTAGGTCAACAAACTTGTCAGTGGTGAACCAACAAATAAACTGACAAGTTAACTACTGTTAGACCACGTACACAAAAAGCTGCGAGCAATTTTTGCCCTTTTTGGGGTTTTTCGTTTATGACATTTGAAAAGTATGTTAGACATTTTTAAAATGAAAACAATTTGTTCGTAATTGGCTTTTTGATCGACTGACTATACTTGGTTTTCAATTCTTGAGATCAATAAGTGTTCAGACATTCAATTCAATTCAAGGTCTGAAAGCTTAGAGATCATTTTTTTATGATTCAATAAGTTATGCTACTTGAACTGATGCTCATTAATAGTGTTTTTTTTTCAAAGCAGTCCCCTTTCTGGACTTTTCATTTCACATAACGAAAATCGTGTCAACATTTGTTGTGGTTGGAAGAAATTTTTGGACAATTCGATCGGCTTAAATGTTTTTTTAGTGCTTCTCAAAATGTGAGTACATTTTTGTACCTGAATGGTCCACTACTAAATTGATCACTCTTTATAAGGGATAAATGTATTCAAATTAAGTGCTGCATTTTTGGGATTAATAACAGCTTATGCCAAGATTGAACTGTCAAAAAATGAATTAAAATGGTTTTCATTGGATTTTGGTTCAATTTTTGTCATGAAAATTTCACAAGTGAATGACTGCAAGTGATTGACTGCAAGTTAGCAGAGACCAATACAAGAACAATTAATTGCGGCAAAATGGTCAATGGGCTTTTTCCTTCCTCCCTTAGACGTATTTTTTGTTTGTTGTAAATTGTAAAGTAAATTGTTTGTTCGCCTTGTCCGATTGTTACATAAATCCGCATGCAGACTATTTAGGCCGTGACAAATACATTTAGTCTCCGTACTTAACCTTGTAAAACCACTAGTTAAACTATAAACTTGATCTTCGTTTGAAGTGGTGGGGGATGGGGGGATGGGGGGGGGGGGAGGAAGCTGGTACAAAATATCAGCTAATCAGTGCATTTCCCATCATCTGACTTTTTTTACGCATACCGGAGGCGATGTACCGGTACCAGCATCACGGCTCGGGTTTTGAAAATTTTCAAGATAATTACGAAATTGAACTGCGTCGGATTCCACTTTTCAATCAAATGTATTTAAATAATAAGAATGGTCTGGATCTGATATCTTTTATTAGGGGGCTCGTGTAACTACTTACACCCGCCCTCTATTGCAATGGGGGAGGGGGGGAGGGGGAGTATACTTTTTTCGTTACTAGCTACAAAATTCTCATATGCTTAACCATTAAACTAAACTAGTTCCTTATAGGAGGGGGGATTCGTTTGTACGTACCATTGTAAGTAAATTGTTAAAAAGATCCAATTATTTTTTCCGGAAATTGGCTTTTTTTATTTTTTTTCGGGATGTTTCTTGAAACCTAATTATTGACAATATTTCCCACGATAAAACATTGTCTAATTATTGTTTTTACCAAAACTGAATTAATATGGCAACGCCATGGCAACGGTTTTTTTGCCTGATTTTTTTGCCTCAACGCTAAGTATCAAAACAACAAATTTGAAATTCGGCCACGTTCAATTCACACATGGGAAAAATATCAACGGATTTTATATCAATTAGTTAGCGTCGCTCGGCAGGATCAAAATAATCATCAGCTGAAATTTCACTCGAAAGTATTTTTTCTCAGGTCGTCCTTGTTTGGTACGGAAACACATCTCGAATTTTTTATGTATTTTCACTCAATTAAACTGAAAAAATTAAACTAAAATAGATCGAATTTACCAATACCCAGGGGCGGATCTAGGATTTTCTCGAGTGGGGGGGCGTATGCGTATTTTTGAACAAATTTTCGAAAATTTTGTCGATCTTTTGTTTTATAGGTCGATGGGATTGATTTTTTTTTGACCAAAACATTGCGTTTTCAAAACCAGTATATATTGGGGCCAAAAGCCTTTTGAGAAAATTTTCAGACAAATACATTGCGTTTTTTTTGACCAAAACATTGCGTTTTCAAAACCAGTATATATTGGGGCCAAAAGCCTTTTGAGAAAATTTTCGGACAAAAAGGATTTTGGTCAAGCAAAAAAGATGTCGTAAATACTACCGAAGGGAGAAACCCTTAGATCGTAGGGTTCGAATCGGCTAGGAAGATCGCAAGCGTCGCAGCGCCCATTACCCTAAATCCACTAATACCAATATCAATGTTACCAATATATTGAAAGCATTTTATTATCAATTAAAATCATGACATTTTTCCATTTTCGTTTTCAATTTTTTATAATCATTTATAACTAATTCTAGTTTTTATAATGGATCTCTTAAAATTGTGGCAATCGATTGTGATATCTTTTTAAAAAATTTGATCTGATCAAAAAGATACCTCATTATGGATTAGAACGTTGCTGTCGATGACAAAATCTCCATTCATGGGATGTCTTGTCACTTTTTGGTTCATCTGATCGCAAAGTCTTACCACGAAAAAAAAAATTACATAGAAATTTCATCAAATTAATTGAAAGATTCTCGATTAAGGTGAAAAGAATCATGAAACTTGGTTGCTCATCATGAAAAAAAAATCGAGAAAAAATGAAGAAAAAACGCTTTATGGTTAGAATTGGTTTACAAACTGATGAAAATGATTTTCCAAAACTCATATAAGCTAATTTCTGTGAAAAACGTAAATTAAAAGCAATTTAGATGCAAAATTGAAAACAAAGAAACAAAAAACGGGGATTAAAACCGACTAAAATCGATTTTATTTGACTGAAATGAAATAATTGTCATAAAAAATGAATATTAACGAGATAAAGAGAATATATTATAACTGATTATAATCATTTTGAAAATTTGATGGAAAAAAATTCTATTGTGCGGGATTAGAATGTTCTATAGAAGATTATAAAATTTACTGAAAGGAGTGAGTATAGTTGATAAATGATTGTTTGTAGAAGATAATTTCTTAATTTTTTTTCTTAGAAATATGGCTAATGAATTATAATAAATGGTCTAATAATGGTTAAAACTGGATGCAGATTGCTTAAACCCATATTTTTTTCCGATTGTCAAGATTTTTTGATAGTATCGTAACCAGGCCTCAAAAGCGGATTTGTTTCAAAACTTGGAAGTTTGAATTTGATTGATTTAGCTTATCATGTAGTCTGCTTAAAGTCTTCAATTTGCGGGCTCAATGTTCAACCCAAACTCTTTCTAGTCATGTACAACAACAAAACCCTCTCAAAAAACGTACTTGTTTCAGCACTGTTTAAAACATCTTTAAGCTCTCCTCTGGTCAAAACATGCCAATTCTAAATTTTTTTTAACCATTTATGCAAAAAAATGGCTATTCTTATTCACCAAGGACCGAATGTGAGAAAATTCTCAGTCAATCGACGCCCTTTAAACTGTCCAAAAAGACTATCGCTTTTTCCTTCGAATTTATGAATACTGAATTCTTATTGGCTGACATCATTTTTGAGCATTCGGTCCTTGACGCAAGCGAAACGGGTCGAGGTGCTCGACTTATGTTTCGACTTTGAAAGCCGAGCAGGTACAGTTTTGTGACTGAAAATCCGCGGTCGAAAAGCAATTTTAGGTCGAGCACAAAGTCGAAACATACCCGATTGTGGTCGAGAGAGTCGAAACATAAGTCGGCTCTTTTTCCTCGGCCTCCCCCCCTCCCCCACCTCTGACGAGCATCAATTTTATGGTCTAACGAGTAGTTTTACAAAGTTGATTATTAAGCTTAAATATGTTTGTCATGGCCTAGTTTATCTGCATGTCAATTGTCATGACAATTGGACAATGCAAACAGTAACATTTAATTCTAAAAATTTGCCGGTGGGGGGAACGAAAAAGAGCCCATAGTTCGAGCACAGTCGAAACATACCCAATATGGGTCGAGAGACTTCGAAACATTGGTCGTAAAAAACTAACCTGTAAAGATCAGAAGCGAAGCAGCAAATGAGGGGGTTGACGATACTGTTGCAGATGTAGATTATGCTGGCTATCTGGATCACCAGCTGGTTCGTTGTGAAAGAGGTCAATTTGGGACAGAAGAAGCTGGCCAAATTCCACAGTCGGTGGGGGGACAGGAGCAGGATGAATGAGAGCATGATCATAAACATGAGACGCGTCACCTAGAACAACCACAACCCAATTTATTCTTCATTGTTTTGCTGATTTTTTTCAACTCAACTTGGGCTCTTTTCCAGTTCCCCCCTTTCAAAATACCGAGTTTTATGTTTTTTTTTGTGTTATTACGACTAAATGCGTGATGTTACTCTGTAAAGTATGAGAAACAAATCTGTTCACAGTTGTCGATTTGTTCACCACGCCAAACTTCATTGCCTTGTGACAACGTTAAATAAACTTTTCAAAATTGAACTTGAAAGGTGGAGGGGACTGAAAAAGAGCTTCAATTTGTTGTACATAGTTATTTGATAGCAGTTCATCACTCTTATGTGATTTATTTTTCCGACTTTCCTAAAAGTGACTACTAATTTGTGCTCGGGGTGATTTGTTTTTCTCCAAACAAAATTCGACTTTTTAATTGGGAATTTATGACTTAGTTGTTTATGTCATCTAATAAGCATTGTTACTCTGAGCTCAAATTTAAAAAGATATTTAAACTGTGATCTTTTTTCGTGAAAATATAGGGGTTTAAGGATTGCCAATTTGGCCAGTTTGAGATAACTATCGCGCCATACAATTCGTGCTATTAACTCTTACGCGCAGATACAGTCTGTTTTAGAAACCATTCTAAATTGAATTGAAACACCCAATTTGGTCTATTTAATATATTGCTGTTTGAGACTAATTAATTTGAAAAAAATATATATTACTTGGTACGGCTCTTTTTCCTCCCCCCTCGACCCCCCACCCCCACCTCATATGAGCATCAATATTATAATCTAACGAGTAATTTTACAAGGTTAACTATGAAGACCAAATATGTTTGTCATAGCCTAATTCATTAGCATGTCAATTTTCATGACAATCGGACAATGCGAACAGTAATTTTAATTATAAAAAATTACAGGTGGGGGAAAAGGAAAAAGAACCCTCGGTACTACATTTAGCGTGCGAGAGGATGATTTAGAAAAAAAAACAGCCTTAAAAATGCGCCACTTTTTCGTTTTTTTGAAATTTTTGTCCATTTTTTAAAACAACCACTAATCACACAGGTTAAAGGCAATCGAAACACTCCTTTCGAGCAGTCTTGTTCGTTTTTCATTATAAATGCTGAAAACTAATGAAAACAAAATAAATTGCTTCAAAGTTTGTAAATTGAATTAGCATTTTTAACGCAGGTTATTATGTTCAGGCGAAAAAAGGAAAAAGAATATTGGGGGTGCTCAACAGTGTCGAAGTACAACAGTGCTGAAAATGATATATGTTCAGCAGTGCCTAAAATGATAATATTTGAAAAACTTGAAATCCGTGTGTGAAATGTTTGCAATTCTGCGTAAATACTGCTTTGCTTTGGAGCTAAACCGAGAAAAACGTTTGAAAACTGATGAACTATTTATTTGTTCAGCGACACTTATTACGCCGAGCTTGGCGTTTCTTAAACATGCGGCATCAATTAAACTAAACAATTCGGTTTTCTCATCTTTCGCCAATTTGATATAAATTATTTGTTTTTTTTGGCACTGTTTAACAGCGATTTAGTTTCGGCACTGTACAGCCAAAGAAAAGAGACCGGTTTGATCCAGACAGTGAATTGAGGCCAGACTGTAAAGCAAACGAAACAAAATAGTTTTTCTCCAGGTAAATTATAAACCAGAAATGTATAAACCGAAATAAAAACTTCAGCTTAAATTGATAAGCCAGAAAAACAATCACTCAGAGACCAAGTGTTTTTTATCAGAATTAACAAATTGCGTAAAACATGAACCTGCGTGGCAAATTTGCGGTCAAACTCATACTAGTGTAAGCAATTCTTTAACTGCCAATTGTGTCAAGGACGATATGGCGACGAGACTTCAATCTAAACTGGTTTCATTTTTATGAGATTGTTGCTAATTTTGATTAGAATTGAATAATAATTACAAAATGTAGCACATTAAAATAGTTGTTTATAAACAAAATCTGTCATAGAGTTATTCCAGTCTGTTAAAATAATAAACTTTTTGAATAAATGAACAAGACTGCTCGTATCAGGGCGAAGCCCTGAATGTTCTGAATGCCTCTTAAAGTCTATGGAGCAGTAATAACACGAAAAAAGCAAATGTAATCAAATAAAACGAACATTTAAACTTTGAGATTTTAAACTTTGAGAAAGTGATGAATTTCGCTCCTAGTAACAAATAAGCTTCCTTTAACCAATTTGGAACAATTCAAGCCCCAATAACTTTACAAAAAATGATCACAGGTAAAAAAAATTTTCAAATTTTCAGCACAGGACAACAATTTTTTTTGAATGACCTTCAAAAATTCCGTCAAAAATGGCTAGTTAGGAAGTCGAAGTTTGTCTGAAGAAAAATAAATCACCCCGAGCACAAATGGTCCGTTACTTTCGCTACAAAATCCGGAACAATAATGCTACATATATTGCATTATTTTTTAAGGATCTTAAAAAATCATTTTGTTCATCAAAATGATAGAAAGTCCTTGAATAAACAAATGATGAGTGAAGCCGACGTTTTTATGTATCCTGAACCCATGTTTTTCTTCATTTTTTACATTTCAAAATTTTTTAAACATTTTTTACACTTCAAAAACTACTTCGCTCTGAAGTTCTGTCGACTATGCCCAGCCCGCCTGCCTAACTGAAGGTTTAACAAAAAACATCTGTGATTATTAGTTGTTTTTTTTTAAATTGTTTCTTCGGATCAAAAAACACATTTTTTTATTCTAAAAATCGCTTAATTTACGAAGAGCAAAAAATTATTTTAAATTTTTGTCAATTCAGATTTCATAGAGCCCATTTAGCTAGACAAATAACTTTAAATTGCTTCAAACATATTTGATGATAAGTTGTTATTTTCACAAACTAGTTTTACGAGCTATCAGACGAAATAATTGATAAGAGTTATATTTGAGGTCAGTTATTATTAGAAATAGATCACTTCATTTCGAGGCAATTAGAATAGTATTTTTTAGCAATTAAGTTTCATTCCAGAAAAGCATATCACGCTAATGAGTTTTTGCAAACAATGTGAGGATTCTTTTTCAATACATTTTCAAAAAAATTTTTTCAATTCATGAATTTATTTTTAAATTTTGAAGAAAGATATCAATCGTTTTTCACAATTTTGAATTAAACGACTTGGTTCTTTTTCTTTGGCTTCTTTCTGACTTTCGAAAAAAGTGACAGGGTGTTTGTACGCGTGTAAGTTATAAAACGATCAGTATAAAGAGACTCCTGGCAGGTTATTATAGTGGTGTGCACACCAGGCTGGGCGCAGGCAGCTCAAAAAGATCAATCACCCGAGGTACCAAAGTTTTGAAAAATGAATAAAAAAGCCACCCCTCGAAATTCTAAAGAATTATACCACTTCGTAATTTGCATAGCGTGGGCGCGGCCTGGGCGGATCTAGGTCGAACTTTTTTTTTCTAGGTGAGCCAAAGTGACTCTCCGAGCGATCCAAGAGCACTATAAAAACCTTTTTAGTCTAAAATTTAGCGCTTCAGGCAAATTTTTGAGAAAAAAAAACAGGTCAAAAAAGGTGTTTTTAAGCACTTTTTGGAAAGTTTTGACTGAAAGATTGCGTTTTTTGGCGCGCGCTCCCCTTCAAAATTAGAATATATTTGCGCCGAAAATTTGGTCAGCCAAAAATGGATGTCCTTACAAAAATTTTAAAGGGACACCCTTTGTTTGTTGAGGGGGTCCAATATTTTCTCCTTTAATCATCCCCCCTTTAATACCGCTTGGGTGATGGTTTAGAAGAAATACGTTTTTGAATATATTTCAATCTTAGCGAAAATTTATGCGAAGTTTTAAAACATTTAACTTACATAAAAAAATTCAAGGAATAACAAGACTGCTCGTATCAAAGCATAACCCTGAATGTTCCGACTGCCTTTTAAGGTTTATGGAGCAGTAATAATATTTAAAAAATTAAATCTAATAAAATGAAATGAAAAAAAAAAATTCTAAGATTTGAATTTTTTTGAAATCATCCCCCCACACGCCATATAGAGTAAAAAAGATTAAATTTCGCCCATTGTAACAAGTCAATTATGGCAAACAAGCTTTCTTTCAGCCAATTTGGAACGGTTTATAAGACGGATTAAATCACCGCTTACGCGTTAATAGTGCGAAATATATCGCGCGTTAACTGTCCCAAATTGACCAAAATGGCAATCCTTAAACCGCCATAACTTAACGAAAAAAAATCTCAGGTGAAATATCTTTTCAAATTTAAGCTCAGGACAACAATACCTTTTGAATGATATAAAAAAATTCCGTCAAAAATAGCTAGTTAAAAAGTCGAAATTTGTCTGAAGAATAAAAAAACCAACCCAGAGCAAAAATATTCCGTTACTTTCGTATCAAAAGTCGGAACAATAAGGTATCTTTATTCACTGCATTCTGGAGCGCTTCATTTCAAAATTGCCGCAAAAAAACAAATCCTGTAAAATTTTATAAAATGTTTCTTACAAAGTAAACTGACTTTGAATAGTGATACTTGATAGTGATATTCAAAGTCGACATTCTTTTTCACCTAATCCAGCTAGCGTGTTCAAAAGCAGACAAAACGGCTCGTATCAGAACGAAACCTTGAATGTTCCGACTACCTTTCAAGTTCTATGGAGCAGTAAGAACTTGAAAAAATTCAATGTAAAAAATTTTTTTTTTTTTAATTTGAGATTTTTTGTGAAAAACCTCTGCCACACTACATATAAAGTACTAAGTGATAGATTTTGCTCCTAGTAGCAAACAATTTCTGGCAAATAAGCTTCCTTGACCCAATTTAGGACGATTTCTAAGACAGGTTGAATCTCCGCTTAATTATCCCTTACTTAAATATATCGCGCGTTAATTGTCCCAAATTGGTCTAAATGGCAGTCTTTAAACCTCCGTAACTTTAGAAAAATAGATCACAGTTAAAAACATCTTTTCAAATTTAATATCAAAACAACAATAAAGTTTGAATGATATGAACAAATTTCGTCAGAAATGGCTAGTTAA